TACTGTAATCAAAGGAGTAGAGTTGTTCCTTTGTTTGTCCGTTGTAGATACATGGAATGTAAATAGTCTAAATTTCGTTAGCCATGGTTTTTTCTATGTTATGTTATCTGTAAAATAAATGACAAATAACAAATCGAAACGGATTCAAAGGATTATTTACTCAAATCCTATGTCGCAAATACATAAAACACAAAGCAACTTGCGCGGCATTTGTATTTTGAAACAAAAATATAATTTGGACGAGTAGTAATGAATAGTTTGTCGTAGAATACCAACCAACTTTTTTCAGTGTTCTAAAAGCAGTAACAAACCGCATTAAATATAGTAAACCTACTACTAGTACTTTTGCAGATTTCACGCATAAATTAGGAACGTATCTTACCTTCTTTAATGATTGCAGTCATTATAAATTGACTAAGATAAGGTTACTGTGTCCCATCAGAAAAAAATCAACCAAAAACAAAAACCGGTTCACCAAAACCGGCAATGTAAAGACGTTTTCAATTTCCCGGTTTTTTACCTACCACTGTCGTGGAAAGTACACATTGTCCTCTAATCCTCCTCACAGAAACACACACAGCAAAATTCAAAATCTACAAGAAAAACGAAAGCCTAAGAGAAAGTGTAACAAATAACATGAACTCTGCAGGAAAAAAAACAAAAAACCAAACCGGAATTAACCGGGTTGTATCTTAAGTCTTAACAGAATTCATCTAATCCACTTGGCTCCACCAGCACATAAAGCGGCTTCCCTTTCAGCTTGTGTTGTCCCTATAACAATTCCAAAATTTTAACACAATGAGCTAATTTCAATTGAGATTATTTAACCCCTAAACCGAACCACAAAACCAACTCTATCACTACAATTACAGGAGTCAAAATCCACATTCCACAAGCTAGAGATAACTTCTTGAACAAGTAAGAAGAATTGTGACTCACCTTGACTTCAGGCAAGCCAATAACACAAGCACACTCCACAACTTCAGCTTCTTGGCTTTCTATAAAACGCCAAAATGTTATAAAAAAACTTGTCACACAATAACAAATCAAGATAAATCTCATTACTAATCGAAGAAAAATACATGAAAAAAGAAAGAAAACCTATTAGGCTAATCGCGGCGGAGAGAGTGCCGCCGGTAGCCACGAGATCGTCGATGATAATGACGCGTTCTCGTGGCTCGACCGCACCAATATGCATCTCTAAACGGTCATGTCCATACTCGAGCTCATAAGACTCCGATATCACTTTCCCTATATTTACAGTTTTACCATTTTCTCAGTATCTAATCAACAAAACAGAGAAAGTAAGTGAAAATTTATTATTTATTTACCTGGTAATTTTCCTGGTTTACGCAAAGGGATAAACTTTGCACCTATGGCTAAAGCAATGGAAGGACCAAACATAAAACCTCTTGCTTCAACTCCTAATAAACACATTTGCATGTAAAGAAGAAGAAAAATTGAATTTCTTTATGAAGAAAAAGACAAATCTAATTTTTTTTTAAAGCTTTTTGTTGCTTTATGAATTATGATGTAAAACCATTTACAAAGTTATCGAATTTTTTTGGCATTACTTAACAAACTTTGATGACGAAAACACTAAAGAAAAAAAGAGAGGATAAGGAGGAAAAAACAGAGGAGTGTTTTTAAGTACCAGCAACAACAGAGATTTGCATGTCTTTGTAACGATCTACAAAGATATCAATTGTATGTTTAAACGCCTTATGATCCAGTAACAACGTTGTTATGTCCTGAAACATAATCCCTGTCGTAAAAACAAGAAAAACATCGTCAGAGAATTGTCACAAAAAACAGAGCAAAACAAAGAAACAGAGTATCATAACATCAAACGAAACAGAGGAAGAAGTACCTTTCTTTGGGAAATCAGGAACAACTCTAATGGCTGCTGATATAGCTTCAAGCCTTGGATCTCCTTTCAGACCATTCTCCGCCGCAAACATCGTTTCTCTCTCTCTTTTTCTCTAGGAGCGTCTCACTTCACTTGTATATTAA